GGGGGATAAGACGAGCCATGTGCCCATGCCCATTTTTCGGCTATGCAAGAACATTTATTGGAAAAAATCTCTCAATTGCTCGAGTTTACTTAAGCATTTTAATGTTTACCGTAGTTTTCAAAATGATATTTATATTCTAAACAAGCTAAACAGTTGACTTTCATTTACTGTCACAAATGTCTAACATGGGTAAGGACTTCTATTATTTAATCTGAATATTGAGTGTTTACACTTATTGTGGAGATATTATAAAAATGTTAACATCGTATATAATGATAACGGTGATCTAGAAGCGCTTTTATTTAAAATAAATAAAAACGGGAATAAAAGTATTCAAATATCTATTATAATTTTTATCCGGCATTTTAAATAATTTACTGTAAATAAGTTCATTACTACATGTATATATTTTATTTCCAGTGAAAAATATGTTATTCCTATAGACATTTTTTTATAAAGTAAAACAAAATTAAAACCAAAGAAAAAAAAAGAAAAAAAAACAAAAAACAAAAACAAAAACAAAAAACAAAATCAAAAAATCAGAGCATGACTCGAACACTTTCCTCAATAAACGTCCCTTTATAGAGCTCCTCGCTAACCACTGTACCACGGAGTCACACATACATACCCATTTAAATAGCATACAGTTCTCTATATTTAGCAAGCGTATTTGGACTTAGAATTTTTTAAGACCACGGTGAAAATTTAAGTAAGTTAACTTAATTTTTCATGTAGAGTGGGTCTTCGTACCAAATATTTGCAAGTGGTAAAAGCAACATCTTTTCATTGCCTTTCATTAATCGTTCTCAAAAAAATGGTACGATGACCCACTCTATTTAAAAAATGTAGTTATATCATCCAATTTATGTCAGTTTTTGTGAAAATTAAGCGTGATGCCATTTTTTCGTGTTAATCAGAATCATTTTCGCTGTTACAGTATTCAGGTTTTGTCAAATTTGTTTGCAAATGGTAATAAGCATTACATTAATTCAACAAAAAGTGAATTTTTTGTAAAATGAATTTATTGATTTTTTATCGATCGTTATGTAGGCATATGGCTCGGCTTATCCCCCCAGTTTCTTTAAGTTAAATTTAGATTGAAGAAAAATACAATTTAATTGTTTAACGATATCAAAAGTAATTGACGTTGAAATAAAGGTTATAATAATTTGATCATGCAGCTATCAAATTTAATGTTCAACCTGCGGCACAAAAGCCTAATAATTTCTCCATCAAGTCATTCTTTAAATTTTTGTTATGTACCTGCACAGTAGGCAATGCTCATTATTTACTTAGTAATTCAAAGGGCTTTGATCTCAATTGAGTATGAAATTTGCAAAGATTTATATATTGAATTTACTTCTATAAATTAACAAATATTTTATGCACATTTGAATTTATCCAGTGAAATACGGGTCAGCGTTACTTCAACTAAGATGTATCTCTCGACACTAAATTGGCCTAACTATTATCCATGGATTTATCAGCCTATTTTGGGAAACACCATTTTTGGGGAATTGGGAATAAATTATCCGCTATTTGATGAAATTGGAAAAAATTTAAATCCTGTATTCAGGGGTAATTCATTTAACATTTCAGCATGAACTCTAATTTGGGAAACCAAACGACAATTAAATATGATCCATCTTCATCATTCAAGATCAATTATGAATAAAAGACAAATAAAAGTAAATTGGACTTCAATGAGTGTAAAGCATTTATACAACTTAGGGTAGTACATGTGTGTATGAGATTTCAATTTAGGTCATATAGTATCTGTTTCTGGAGATTATAAACCTCCTGCAAAAAATTATACTAAGTACACATTTTCTAAAAGTCCTCTTTTAATATGTATTAATGCATTGAAAATATATTTTTCTATCTGAAATAATGCCTAAAGTCCTTACCATTAACTCGCAGATCAATTGAGTAGGTAGAAATAACTTAATAAATCTATATAATTACACAATATCATCTTTTTTAGAAAAACGGAGGAAATTCGGATTAAAAGTTGGCGATGTTTTTACAGTGTTTTTAAACATGTGTTATGACTGTAGCTTTGCTAAATGAGTTAAATAGATGAAAATTACAGACTGTCTGACAATTTTACTTCGTGTTTTTCAAGATAATTAAAAATAAATTAAAGCATTGTTCACCAATTGGCAAAAAATACTGCCAAACTGGGAAAAACTGAACTCATTTTCAATTGGGAATGGGGCCGAATTTCGGCCCCTGAGAAGGCACTGATAAATCCTTGTTATCTATAGGTGTAACCGTGTCTGCTAGGTCGATCAGGGTTGGGCATAAACTCTTCAATATTACGGTATGAATTTAGCCAATTGAGACATTGCAATTGGAGAAAGGGATCATGCATCCAAGATTTTATTCACTTTTTCATGCAGAAAAAGTTCTTTAAGTGTGTGTCCTTGCTTTCAGTGAGGAATTATCTTGTTACATGACAGAACCGCCATTTTTGGTTTGCACGTGTTTATTTACGGTCTTCTAAATGTTTGTAAAGGTCTCATATATTTATAAGCGCTTATTCGACTAAGATGCATTCTAAAATTTAAAACACACCAGTTCAGCTGAGAAAAATCCGGAAAAATATGTTGGAAAAAGGCATTATTTTTATTTCCATGATTGGTGAAAATTAGGGTCGGCGGAATCGTAAACCAAAAGAAAAAAAAAACTTTGGCCTAATGACCTTGTCACACCAAGCTGCGTCCCCATTTTTAAAATCGCCGTGGAATCGCAGGGAAATTGCACAAATTTCTGTAAAATTTTCACAGTGTGAAGATGTCACGGCGTCCCTACGGCGACCGACGCGTTTCTACGGCGTTCTCGCGGCGTGCTACTGCGTTCCCACGAAGATCTCTTAGCGATTGACTGGGCTTCCGCGGAGTTTTCACAGCGTGCTAGTTATCACCTAGCGTTCACGGCGTTCTACACTGCGTTGGCTGCGTTCGCAATACGTTCACAATGCGTTCTTCACCCATGTATATATAGAAGGAGTGTAACACATTTTTTAAAAATCTTCGATTTTATTATGAATGTAAATGATAAACATGCACATTGAAAAGCTATAAAATTTAAGTAATTCTACCTCAACTCCACTGAAACAACAGAACAAGTTCTGGTGTAATTTTCACTTCATACATAATTTTACTTTAAAGACTCGCATGCTCTTGGTCAGGAGTGCAACAAATTCATTAGAATTATTGCTGATCAAATATGAAGCCATTAATTGATTTTGTTTCGTGAGCTGGCTGACAACGCTCCAACAATGCTGTGAAAGCCAACGAACGCGGTAGAAACATCAAGGGAGCACAATGATCACAGTGACAACTCCTTGTTGTCTCTGTGTAATCTCAGACAAAAAATAACAAGACAATTAATCTCATTAGAAGCGCCATAAAAGCGCGATAGAAACACAGTGACATCTCCAAGGACTCCGCGAGGTCTCCGTGGAAGCACTGTCTACTATCATAGGCACTCCCCAGCTTAATTGTTAAAAAATATATATCTACTATACTATAAACATTATGTTTATAGTATAGTAGATATATATTTTTTTAACAATTAAGCTGGGGCGTGAGTATGTCTACTATCTCTGCGTTCATGCTACGATCATGTGCTTCTTCAAAGCGTGCCTTTGGAGCTCCCATGGCGTTGTTGTAGATCTCATCACGCTGCTACGGCGATCATACACCTTTCTACTGCCTTCTTATCAGACCGCGCTCTCACAGCGCGTACTTTGTGCATGCCCAAAGTGCAGGCCGTCCCCTGGTGTTCTAGGAGACCCTACCACGTTCAGTGGAGATCTAACTGCTTTGTCACAGCACTGTAGGAGACTCTACTGCACCTACCTCAGCGTTTTGCATTATTTATGGATGCCGTGCAATCACAGTGAGGATGCAGTCCCGGTGTGACAGGGGTTTTAACGTAGCTGAAGAACCGTAGCGTTATGGTTTTATATTTTAGTTTTTCACCATAACGTTACAGATCCCGTAATGCAAATATTGTGCAATTTACAGCACAAGATTTTCTGCGCACTTTGGAGATGTGTGTATTTCACCAATTTCCAGCATTGGTCAATCAATGACTTTTCATTCCCTAATTCTAGAAGTAACGGGTGGGTTTTCCCCGATTACATTTGCTCGGTTTCGCCTCAAGTGGTTTCACCACAATTCTCATTAAAGGTGTCAAATTTTTGCACCTGTGGATTTTGGCAGGTTGCTATGACAAATAGCCAATGTTCTCTGTTTGTGGTTTTTGCGAGTGTGCTATGTGAAAGGTTTTTATTGTATCCAAAGCGATCTACACAATGCACAAAGTAAAATCTTCTTTGTTCAAAATTTCAGAAAAAGATGGAGATTGTTGGAATAAAATTGAAACAATTAAGTTTAATTTATTTATTTTACATATTTAAACATAAATGAGTTGTTATTTTCCCGTGTTCATGATTTTTGAAAGAAAAGTTCATATCATCTCTCGTTAAAATCGGAAATAATTTGGTATTGATCGGCAACTAATAATTGAATAATAAGGTGCTCATTAATTATGTTAATCTAAACACCCACTGATCAAACAACTTTTGCATCAAGAACCCGTATGTTTCAAGAAAACCACTGGGGGCGAATCCACTCAGGGTGAACAGGGAAACGGTGCGAAACCACTCAGAGCGAACAGGTAATTGGGGCGAAACCACTCGGATTCGATCTAGACATGTATATTTTATCCATCTCCTAACCCTTTATAGGAGAGTCTCATATATTGAAGCTAAGGCAAAATATTTTCTGTATATTGGCCCTATGTTTTTTCCCATACCAAGACCAAAAGTGACAAACAGTCTCTTAGCAATGGTAAATTACCATACATTTAAAAGATTAACAATGAAACTTTGTAAGAAAAAAAAAACAACATTAAATACAGTTGAAAAACGTTTCCATGTCATTTTTTAATAATTTTTTTTTTATATCTGTACAAAAAATACTTGAATGTACATTTATATGAAATATATTTTAAAAATGACTGACAACAGTTACTTTTATCTGTAATTTGCCATTAATGATAGATTCATAAATGCCACAGCACTGATGATGTTTTTAAGCACCACTATAACAACAATGACAAAGTTTGCTATGTGTTTACATCTCATTCTTTCAAACCCAATTCTCTCATATGAAGCACAGTACGTAAAAACCTGAAATATAAATCACAAGGTTGTCTGACACAGTATATTCAAAACTGAAATCATGACCACAACAAATCAATAAACAAAGTTACTGTGATGGAAACTGTAAAAATTCACTAATGTCAGTTTCCATGTCATCCTCATCTAGTTGTGGCACTGGCATTGCACTATTAGAGTCAATTTGACTGGTTGGTACAATTGAATTATCGGTCACATGATCAGTATTTATGTCTTGTGAGTTTTGGTTGGCTACAGGATCAGGTTGTACAGTTTCTTCGACTGGTTCTGTTTTAACTGGGTTTAGAGTGATTCCCATAGCAGACCTTAATCCCTGGACAGATGAGATATCAGCTGGGGTTACCTACAAATAAATCAGAAAAGGTTTTTCTCTCACAAGGGACATAGCTGAAATCTGTCTACTCTTTTCTGTTTGGAATACCAAGCAACCCTGGGTTTCTATCAGAGACGTATATACTAACGGGATAGGCAACTTTCGCAAGTCTCAATATATCTCATAAGTTGTGGGATTTCGTAAGTCAATTTTAAAATAATAATATATCTCTAATGCTATGAAATTTTTCTTCACAAAACCTTTATCTGTCATAAAATTATTCAAGATTTGTTTTTAGCAATGTTTATACTCCTTATCTTAGTACATGTATAATTACATTGTATATTCAAAATCAACACATGCCCTGATCAGCCGTATTTACGAGAATTTGCCGAATTTGGTGGTGGTTTGCTTTATATTTAAATTATTTAACAATATATGCTTTAAAATTTATTAAAAATCCATCCAATAAACAACAAGAAGAGATTACATTTGCCAGAAAACAAACTTTTTACTGGAATAAAACATAGTTTGAAAAACTTTTAGTGTTGTGTATGACATTTTGGGCAAATAAACATGGTGCTGAAGGAGTTGCCTATCCCATTAATATATAGGTCCCTGGTTTCTATCATAATGGCATTGAAAAATTTTCAGCAGTACTCATCTTGTATTGAAACAAATTGAGTATTTCAATAGGAGATACTAGTTTAAATTAGATATTTCTTTAATTTCAATTAAATACTAAAACCTCCAAACTAAATTGTGACTAGAATTTTTTGTGAAACCAGAAACATTGGTCTGTCACTCTAATGTGTACCGGTATTTTCTCTCTCACACAATAGTGCAGTACAGGAACATACATGTATTTGTGGAAAAAATACTGATCAGACTTTTCATATCTTAAAATGAACATTGAGTTGACTCGTGTATGAAGTTTTCTGACCTCCTTGGTTAGTTCCTTGAGTTCTTGTGTGACCTTCTGTGCCAGCTGAATCTCTTTTTCTGATGGCCCTGGTACATGCGCCAGATGCATTGGGAGTCGTGCACTTAGTCTTTCCTTCTGAGTGGCAGAAAGGTCATTAATTAGGCTTGCTGTCTGATCCAGACGCTCCTGGACTGGGTCCTTTTGTGCTGGCTCTGACGTCATTTTTTCTGTATCCAGTTAAAAATAAATTAGAAATACACAAGTGTATTTATTTAACTTTATGTAAGAGTTACTAGTACTTCAGTCAACTAAAGTAAGTGAAGTTGAAGATGGAAGTCCAAAAGTACTACATACCAAAGTTATCTAAAAAAGAGACATCCACTCCTATGTCAGTGAGAGTCTTGAGTGAGTTGATGTCAATGTTGACAGGTTTTGTGTCTGAGTTTGACTGAGTCCCTGAGGGTCCTGCTGCCTCATTGTTTTTTTCTTCAGCTGCATGAATCTAAATCAAATATCATAAAGTCAGTAACTCTGTATTCACAAAGGAATTCATCTAAGCTTGATGCCATGCAATCCCTCCATAACACAAACCAGTCTTTGAATATTATCCAAAAATACAATTCTTTATACAAGCAGGGTTATTATTTTAAAATCAAATCAGATTTGTTTTGAAAACATCATACTGTAGCAGGTATAATCTCTTTATCAAAGTATATCCAAATATGAAACTGGCTTGTCTTACTATTTTATAGGTGATGTAAGATTGTTTTAGTCTTCCTTTTATCATGTAGATTGTTATATCTATGTAAAGCACTTTAGAGTTCACATAAGATAAGGCGCTATATACAATTTTACTTATTTATTATTTGTAAATTATTAAACACAAGATATTGTAGGATACAAAGCACATCAAATTTTGAAACACTTACTTCCTCTAACTGCTTTTTGGCTTTAGAGTGCTCTCCCTTGGTCAGTATGTCTAGAAGATGATCCACCATGGCAATGGCAAATTCTCCAGAATTCTCAACAAACGAGGTCACACTTCAAGTATAAATTAATAAATACTTGTACTCAAGTCACTTAAAAATCTGAAGAATTTTTCTATGTTGTAGTACAGATGGTAGAGTTACCTCTTGGCATATTGTACACCAGTCTCGTCAGCATAAGTAGAAAGAAGCAGGTCTGATTCAGCTTTTGACATGTTGGCAAATGTGGAGTCGTACTGAGGTCCATAGGAACTAAAGGGGCCGTAATTCAAATACATTACTGAAAATATAAATGACATTTTTTCCATTAATTTCATTATAACAAACTAGAGAATGCTTATTCTTTGTGCCAAGTACACAGAGATCTCCATGCAAAAGCAGTTTATCCACTTTGCTTTACCTGGAGTAAGACGATTTCTTTTGTCTTCTTTGAACCCAGTTATTGTACCAGAACCTGTTGTCAGTTTACCAACCAGTGACCCTAAATTTACAACTCGCTCTTTCTCGTTCACTGAAAATATAAGATTGATCATGTTAAACAATATTCCTTGAAAACTTTTCATAAATATAGGTAAACTTGGTGTCTCCATATCAACAAGACTATTTGAAAATGTCAACATATGGGTGTCAAGATATCAGAGTTGAGATGGCATTTATTGTCATATCCAATGTTTACAAGAATGAATGTGTATTTTCACAAGGGGAGCTTATATATAAGAGCACTTAGTGCAGAAGATCTTACAGATGCCATCATTGTCTGGGTTCAATAACGTCATTGTAGTACTGCCATCATTCCTCCTCCTCAAAAACCCAAACTAAAAATAAAAGTCAAAAACTTTTTTAAAACTGCACACTACCACACTAAACAGAAATTGCAAATGCAGCTATTTAAGATTGTTTTCATTACTATCCAGTCAATAAGCCAAGCCTGAGTCTAAGGTGTCTCTCGTATTACTCACTCTGTAGATCCCTCAATGTTAATGTCTTGTATTACTCACTCTGCCCTTTACTTCCCTCAGTGTTTATTACTCTGCACTTTTGTTCTCTCAGTGTTTATTACTCACCCTGCTCTTTGGTTCTCTCAGTGTTTATTACTCACTCTGCTCTTTGGTTCTCTCAGTGTTTATTACTCACTCTGTTCTTTGGTTCTCTCAGTGTTTATTACTCACCCTTCACTTTTGTTCTCTCAGTGTTTATTACTCACTTTTCACTTTTGTTCTCTCAGTGTTTATTACTCACCCTGTTCTTTGGTTCCCTAATTGTTTATTAATCACTCTGTTCTTTGGTTCCCTCAGTGTTAACATGTCTCTACACTTTGGGTCTCTCAGTGTTTATTACTCACCCTGTTCTTTGGTTCCCTCAGTGTTTATTACTCACTCTGTTTTTTGGTTCCCTCAGTGTTAACATGTCTCTACACTTTGGTTCTCTCAGTGTTTATTACTCACTCTGCTCTTTGGTTCCCTCAGTGTTTATTACTCACTCTGTTCTTTGGTTCTCTCAGTGTTTATTACTCACTCTGCTCTTTGGTTCACTCAGTGTTTATTACTCACCCTGCTCTTTGGTTCTCTCAGTGTTTATTACTCACCCTGCTTTTTGGTTCTCTCAGTGTTTATTACTCACTCTGCTCTTTGGTTCTCTCAGTGTTTATTACTCACTCTGCTCTTTGGTTCTCTCAGTGTTTATTACTCACTCTGCTCTTTGGTTCTCTCAGTGTTTATTACTCACTCTGTTCTTTGGTTCTCTCAGTGTTTATTACTCACCCTTCACTTTTGTTCTCTCAGTGTTTATTACTCACTTTTCACTTTTGTTCTCTCAGTGTTTATTACTCACCCTGTTCTTTGGTTCCCTCAGTGTTTATTAATCACTCTGTTCTTTGGTTCCCTCAGTGTTAACATGTCTCTACACTTTGGGTCTCTCAGTGTTTATTACTCACCCTGTTCTTTGGTTCCCTCAGTGTTTATTACTCACTCTGTTTTTTGGTTCCCTCAGTGTTAACATGTCTCTACACTTTGGTTCTCTCAGTGTTTATTACTCACTCTGCTCTTTGGTTCCCTCAGTGTTTATTACTCACTCTGTTCTTTGGTTCTCTCAGTGTTTATTACTCACTCTGCTCTTTGGTTCACTCAGTGTTTATTACTCACCCTGCTCTTTGGTTCTCTCAGTGTTTATTACTCACCCTGCTTTTTGGTTCTCTCAGTGTTTATTACTCACTCTGTTCTTTGGTTCACTCAGTGTTTATTACTCACCCTGTTCTTTGGTTCCCTCAGTGTTTATTACTCACCCTGCTTTTTGGTTCCCTCAGTGTTAACATGTCTTGTATTACTCACCCTGCTTTTTGGTTCCCTCAGTGTTAACATGTCTTGTATTACTCACCCTGCTCTTTGGTTCATTCAGTGTTTATTACTCACCCTACTCTTTGGTTCACTCAGTGTTTATTACTCACCCTACTCTTTGGTTCACTCAGTGTTTATTACTCACTCTGCTCTTTGGTTCACTCAGTATTTATTACTCACTCTGTTCTTTGGTCCTCTCCGTGTTTATTAATCACTCTGCTCTTTGGTTCGCTCAGTGTTTATTACTTACCCTACTCTTTGGTTCTCTCAGTGTTTATTACTCATTCTACTCTTTGGTTCTCTCAGTGTTTATTACTCACTCTACTCTTTGGTTCTCTCAGTGTTTATTACTCACCCTGCTGTTTGGTTCTCTCAGTGTTTATTACTTACCCTACTCTTTGGTTCTCTCAGTGTTTATTACTCACTCTGCTCTTTGGTTCTCTCAGTGTTTATTACTCACTCTGTTCTTTGGCTCTCTCAGTGTTTATTACTCACTCTGCTCTTTGGTTCTCTCAGTGTTTATTACTCACTCTGTTCTTTGGTTCTCTCAGTGTTTATTACTCACTCTGCTCTTTGGTTCACTCAGTGTTTATTACTCACCCTGCTCTTTTGTTCTCTCAGTGTTTATTACTCACCCTGCTTTTTGGTTCTCTCAGTGTTTATTACTCACTCTGTTCTTTGGTTCTCTCAGTGTTTATTACTCACCCTGCTTTTTGGTTCTCTCAGTGTTTATTACTCACCCTGCTTTTTGGTTCCCTCAGTGTTAACATGTCTTGTATTACTCACTCTGTTCTTTGGTTCTCTCAGTGTTTATTACTCACTCTGCTCTTTGGCTCTCTCAGTGTTTATTACTCACTCTGCTCTTTGGTTCTCTCAGTGTTTATTACTCACTCTGCTCTTTGGTTCTCTCAGTGTTTATTACTCACTCTGATCTTTGGTTCCCTCAGTGTTAACATGTCTTGTATACTCACCCTACTTTTTGGTTCCCTCAGTGTTAACATGTCAGCTGCATCTTTTGCTGCTGCCCTGGCCTGTGCAAGAATTTCCTCTGGACTGAGGTTGTCAGGTATTGCCTCAAATCTACCCAACCTGTAAATGGAGAAATTGAATTACTTACATGTATGTTCTTTCAATTCAATTCATCAATTTGTGGTTGCCTTGGTTGCCACACCCCCACCACTACCATCACCACTTTTCATTATTTGGTGACTTCCAATAAAAGCCTACAATCTTGTATTTACCTAGAAAACATTCAAAATTTCTGAACACAAGTGCAATTAACTTATGATGCCTATTAATAAAATGTAAACTTATGACATGTTATAATGGACCTCTTAATGAAGCCAGAGATATGTGATACAAGTCATAATAGAACTCTTTGTAAAGTCAAAGATATGTGACACAACAGGGTATGTTATGTGAAGCCACAGATATGCAACACAAGTTATAATGGGACTCTATGTGAAGCCAAAGATATGTGACACATCAGGGTATGTTATGTGAAGCCACAGTGTAACACAAGAGGGACAGATACTGACTCCTCTCTCTCCTTAGCTCTCTCTTTTTCCTGTCTCTCCTCCTCTACAATGGCTGCCATTAGAGCTGTGGTCTCATCAGGTTCCTCAACTCCAAGCTCAGCATATGTCATACTGGCTAGGAATGGTAGGCTTCTCTTCATGTTGATCAGTTTTTCCTAAAGAACAAACGATATTTTCCATTTTCAGGCAATTCTCAGCACATAAATTAAAAAAAAAACAACAATACATGCTATTCATCATTAACCTCTGTCATCATCCATGTTTCTCAGTCAAAACAAATTACAGTAAAACACGGTTACTGCAAGCCTAATGAATTCATGCATAGAGAGAAGTGATTTTCATTCCTTGTGGCTTCAAAATTTAATTACTGTGAACTTTATGGATGTAACGAATTATGTATAAAATGAATCAAAATTGTTTCTCCCTGGCACTTCGCTGTAAATGTGTTTACTGTATTTGTTTTTGTTCCTTGGACTTGTGTATCATGAAACATCAAGTATTCACACAATGAGCATTAATTTTATTCCAACATGTAGCAATTTCTTTATCTTGGACATGATTGTCATGCTGACAAGCAGTAATGCCTAGAATCTTTGAAAAGAATTTCATGCCTCAACTTCTTTATTTCATCGACTGACATGAGCTTCATGCTAATAATCAGTAATTTATTTCTACCTTGGACATGAGACTCATGCCAAAACTCCTTAATTTCTTAGCCATCCTGTGGTATTCAGTAACTTATTTTTTACCTTGGACATGAGCTTCATCCCAACACTTAGTAATTTCTTGGCCTCCCTGTAGTAGATCGTTTCTGGTCGGTTGTATGTCATGGCATTGTTGCACATTAAAACAAAATCTTTCTACAAAAACAAAGATGATATAAATACTAATTTCATAGGACCTTAATACTATTTTTTCAGTTAATATTTCATAAAATGTGTTCTCTAATTTTTGTGCTACATAATGTATGCTAAACTGGCTCCAAGGTCAAAATCTTTCTGTAACTATAAGAAAATCTGACAAATTTGTTTTCTTTAAACATAAGAAACATCATTAATTGTCAACTGGATATCATTTGGATGGTGAATACCCAAAAGACCCTGCTTCTAGAAATGTAAAGGACATGGGAATAAATGGAACACTTTTAAGGAACTGTAATTGGAAAAGACCTTTTTATTCTCAAAAGAGTTTTCGTCTTGGTGTAAGAAGATAAATTTCCTAAATTTTGTTTTAAGGAAGTAAAAAAAAACACACACACTGACAGAATACAAAAGAAAAGGAAAACTTTTTTTCCATACCTGAGTTTCAGTCAATGAAACCAGAATTATGTAGCTGAAATAATCAAGTCCTCAATGGAGTTCACACAGAAATTTGCTTTGACCTATTTCAAACACTGCAATCTTTATTCCAAGTACTCTATGGTAAAGGTGAGCCAAACTGGTCCCAGGACAGAGAATTTATTTTTCCCAGACAAGGATTTTACCAAAATTGTTCCTAGACCTTGACTTCTAACCTAGAAACTTGGTTCAAGGTCACTGCAAATCCAGGGTCAGTCTTCAGATGAAGTTTGAGCCAGACTGGGCAATGGGTAGAGAAAATATGTTCATGACAAGGAGTGGCCTGTTTTGACCTTGACCTTCAATCTTGGATCAAGATCACTGAAGTAGAAGCCAAACTGGTTTATATTAAGGCAGAAAATATATAAAGATCTGTTTCAACCTTGACCCTTTCATCTAGAAGTCTGGTTCAATGTCACTACACTCCCTTTACCCATAGGCACTCTATATGTGAAATTTTAGCCACATTGGGACATAAGGAGATAAAACATGCTCCTGACAGGATTTTATAAATAAATATTATAACCTTGGCCGTTGGATCAATGTCACTAGACATCCATTACCCATGAGAAGTATGAGCCAAATTAGTCCAAGAGGAAAGAAAATATTCTGCAGACAAGTAATATTAGACAGAGAGATGGATACTGATCACTGTATTGGTGCTCACAGTAGGGCCCTACTTGTTCATAAAACTCACTGTGTATATATATATTCATTGTTTACTGTTGGTAAAGACTCAATCCTAATAAGTAATTGATCTAGAACTGACTTTGTAGGAGGAGCCAGTACAGGTGGGACAATGACTTCAAGGAATGTATGGTTGACTTTTGTGAATGTAAGTGTGTGTAGAGTGTGTATTATGTAAATTTGTTTTTGAGCTCTAGTGTACCTTTTTTTCCTAATAAGAAAGGTGCACAGTGTGTGTGTATGTGTGTGGGTGTGTTTCTATATGTATGTCTGTGTTTTTTGATCTTATGTATATGAAAACTTTTTCAAAAATGAAGCATTAAAAAAAAAAAAAAAGAACTGACTTTGTACTCGAGAACATTTCTGTACTGGTGACTCTCAATCTTAGACATCATGGTGCTCAGATCCATAGGATTCAGAATAATGCTGGAATATCCAGGTGCAATCATGTCGTTCACAGGATAGGCAAAAAATCCGTTCACATCCTTCCTGTAATGTTAACAATATCCTCTGATCACTGATACAAAATAAAGATACATTTTTATTAGAAAAACCAGAATTTTTGTATTAGAAAAACCAAAATTCCCCATTAGGCCCAGTAAAACATTCAAGATCAAGACTGTTCACTTTTAACAAAAAATGGGGAAAAAAAATTAAATAACAATAATAAAGAAATGATTTACACATCTACAAACTTTGACAAAATTTCTGCCAGTCATTGCACTATGCTACCACAACTTGCACCATTCTTCTTATATTATGTAAATGTTCTCCAAATTACACAAACTTTGACATTTTAAACAGAGCAAAACTCTCTCATCAAATTTCAAATGTTCAGTATAAATATATTTTACAGCTGTAACTGATTTTACTGATCAATTCTTAGAATATGAGATGTGGTCATATCTTAGCTCTTAGATAATTGTACTCAAGACATTACTCTTCTTTATAACCAAAGACCATTTTAATTTCACAAACTCAATTCTCTAATAAAGACACTTTCTGAAAGAATTTTTATTTATAGGTAATAAATATTGAAAACATATGCTTAGAGTCTGAAACTGAATACAAAATTAAATATCATTAACAGGTATATTAACGGGGCATTTAGTAATGAAGTGAACTTAAATCATTGTTAAGCATTGTGCATACTTTTGTAACATCTTGTGTATGTGTTTAAGACAGATGCGAAGTACACCATGCTCCTCTTGTTTCCTGGGCCGGCCCACTGGGCGTGGCTCTTCCCTGACAGGTTCTGCAGACACTACCTCAAGGGCTGGTTTCTTTGCTGGAGGTTCTGCCTCTTCCTCCTCTTGTGAAACATCTTCTTCTTCTGACTGTGCTCTAGTTCTTTTAGGTGTTTCCTGTATTGTAATTTGCTATAGTTACATTTTCCAGTAAATGTCCATACTTTTCAAATAACACAAAAGACAGCAACTAACGTTTTTAACTTTTGCAATTAAGGAGGGATTCTTCTCATATTTCTTGTATTTAAAAATTAATGAAATTTTCATAGATTCAAGAAAACATTATCACTAAGTGATGGTATCAGTTAGATTGAATTTGACTGTTTTATTTAGAAGCAGGGTCAGGTCAAGACCATTATCTTTTTCCTTGACATTTAGAGTAAAAAATTACTGTTGCTAATCATGTGATGCCTACTTCTATTTTAAAAGATAAAATGTTTTTCCTTTTGCACAAAAAGATGTTACCATATTGGGTCTCTCATATGATTCTACCAAATTAATTGACATAATTTAACTAAAAGAGATATTGGCTAATCCGAATTTCCTCTGTTTTTCGTAATTTTCCAAGATATATTAGTTATTTTTATATACTTCTTATATTCAAATATTTCCTATTTTCACATATGGTAAAGTAGTCATAGAAACATACAAAATGATATGAAAACAAAAAGCTTGGACCATTTAGTAAGAGAGAAAAAACACTTTTTACTGATTTTGTGCTCAAATCTGTTTTTAAATCTGAAGCTTTCAAAAGCTAACAAAATTGTAGTTTGTTTAGAAAATCATTATTATTTGCTATATCTTAAAACTTTACAGCATTTTTATTAATATTAGCTAATCTTAAAATTTCTTTAAGTCTTTGATTGTTTAAAAAATTTCTATCTAAAATTGTACAATTTTGATGAGAAAAGAAAAACATGATCTTTTAAGTACATTACAGCCACGTATAAAAGACATACAAGCAAATATACTTGGATTATTTCGTCTAGTCAGAATCCAGAGAAGAATCCCTCCTTAAGACCATCCATTTTTACATTCAAATGCATGATATCATTCAAATTTTTTTTTCCTTAATACATAAGATGCACAACTTTTCTCACCTGAACAGATTCCTCTGCGTGTCTGCGTTTCTCTTTTTCCGCCTTCTTCTTCTTTTTCTTCTTCTTGTGCTTGTGTTTTTTCTCGCCCGATGTGCTTCCCGTGTCATGAAGTGGACTATAAACTTCCCCACTGACTTTTAACTTCAATCTTAGACTTCCCTGCATCTCTTTCTCTGGAGGCTGTTCTTCTTCTGAGATGGTTTATTTTGCATTAATATGATTAACAATGAAAAAAGGTTAACGATTCAATTTTCTATTACCATCTTAACGAGGTTCGCTCCTGAGCTTTTGAGCAGATTCTTATCTTAACCTATATTTAAAAAATTCTGCGTAATGTTTTAATTCTTACAATAAATTTGGATTCTACAATGCCAATTTAACTATATTCAGTTAAAACTCCATGAATAAATTCCATACCAAAAGCATTAAGTGAGGAACTATATTTTGTGGCGGAAGGTTTTTTAAGAAGAAAATGATCATTTTTTTCTCTTTTGAAGTATTTAAAGTATGTTAAGTTTGGATTCCTATTTTTACATGCAGTCTGCACACATAGTTATTTTGTGCAGTGGACTGTTTTATACTAGTCCTAAATTATCTATTAAATAAACTGTCATGAATTCTATCATCATATTTGATAACTAGTATTAATTGTAACGGGGACCGTTACAGATGTTCCCCAAACGCTCCCCAACTTCCTTTTGGTGTCTTATTCTCTGTTAGCTTCATTAAATAAGGCAATCAAGTATATTGGTTTTTTTTTTACACATTACACGCGCGCGCACGGGCATGCATGTACAAAATGACCATGTCAACTTGTCTACACGTTTAATACATCTTTATATTCAAATTTCATCAAAAGATTAAAAAAAATTCGGCTATATTAAGTATATCTGTCATTTTACGCATTGCAAGCACGTGCATGCATGTCCATGATGACCGTGTCTTCTTGTCAACACTATTAATATATCTACATATTTTGAGTATCAAAGCATTTCATCAAAAGATATGAAAGTTTTGGCTATATCAAGTATATTGGTCAGTCTACTCATTGCACCCGCACGCACGTGGATGCAAGTGCATGCATGTGTGCGCTGATCATGTCATCTTGTGTACACTTCTAATATATATTTATATTCTGAGTTTCAAAGCAATTCATCAAAAAATGTACAAGTTATGTCTATATCATTTGTATTGGTTATTTCAATCATTGCGCATGCGCACACGTGCATGCATGTGCATTCTGACCATGTCATCTTGTCTACACTATTAATATTTCCTGATATCCTGAGTATCAAAGCATTTCATCAAAGGATGTGAAAGTTTTGGCTATATCAAGTATATTGGTCATTTTACTCATTGCATGCGCACGCACGTGCACGCACATGCATGCAGGTATGCGCTGGTCAAGTCTTCTTCTCTACACTTCTAATATATATTTATATTCTGAGTTTCAAAGCAATTCATCAAAAAATGTACAATTTAAGTCTATATCAATTGTATTTGTTATTTCAATTAATGCGCATGCGCGCACGTGCATGCATGCGCATTCTGACCATGTCATCTTGTCTTCACTATAAATATATCCTTATATTCTGAGTATCAAAGCATTTCATCAAAAGATATGAAAGTTATGGCTATATCAAGTATATTGGTCATTTTACTCATTGCACGCGCACGCACGTGCATGCACGTGCGCGCAAAATGACCTTCGTTCCGCAAATCTACATAACATTCCTATTAACCCTAAAAAGGTTTCACCTCAATCGGATGTGTAATTTCGGAGATCACTCACGGACAAAAAAGTACCCAGGAAGAAAAATAATAATAATAATAATAACTAGACTCTTGTTGCCATGGCAACAAAAAAGTCTTCCGTTCTTCTAAATCTGTAAGAATTTGCTTTTTTCTGTGTAAAAAACATACATATCATATTTACTGTGAAAGAAAAAAATAACTGGAAAAAAGTCCTTTCAGTACTTAAGGTACTTTGATTTTCATGATCAATCTCGTATACTGCGTTTGGCACCTATAAGAGATATACGAATATCATAGGGCAAGGATAATTAGCAATTAAAAAAAATGTTTGCAATCATTTCTAAGACAAACAGACGAACAAACACCCTACTATCATAAACTTCACTGTGTATACGTTCTGGCATAATTGTGATGGTGTTATAAAAAAAATATAATGAATTAAGTTAGTATCACATTAAACGTAAAGTCACTGAGTTTTGTAAAGTTATAATATCAAGATTTGAAAGCATACCTATAAGAAAGATTATTCAGTTACAGTAATTATTCAGCAATCGATTGATTGATTGATCATATGTTTTTTAACGTCCCTCTCGAGAATTTTTCACACACATGGAGACGCCACTACTCGTCGGTGGAGATTTAAAATTTTTGTCCTATACTTTGGCACATTTCGCCATTGAGCAGTGAGGAATCTTTTTTGTGCCAGCACCTTCTGCGACACGGGACCTCGATTTATGCGATCTCAAAGGACCGGTCTCCACGTCCCACAATCGAAAATCATAATACCGAGATGTTTTATTTTATTTATATTTTCACAAGTTTGTTGCATCAGATTTACTTAAAGATCATACTTCGAGATCATTTCGAACTCAGGCTACTTTATTGCACTGCATAGAGCGTCGTGATTTTGATTGACAGGTCAACACAAGTGCACTTCGTGCGATACTTTTTAAGCAGAAAAATATACAGGATGTGACCATGACTGACTGTGAAATCAGAAAGCATTTAATAAAAAATGGGTGTGACTGATATAGAAATATATTTGGGTCTATGTAAATGGATAGGAGGATCGGGATTAAGAGGGAATCTCTCTCTCTCTCTCTCTCTCACAGACACACACACACAGACATGTAAATTGAACATTTCAGTATCATAATGACAAATGTACCATTATAGAATATGAACTTCTGTACACATGACATGTAAATGGTAATTATAACCACGTTCCAGATTTAAATCTAAAACGAATATATAATTCAAATGCCTAGCTTCACGAACGTCTCCAAATATTAATCAAGACGGGGGGGGGGGGGGGGGGGGGGGTCAAAGGAATTAGATAGTTTTATGTTTTATGAATTATAAGGAAAAGTAGGGACGTCAGTTGCATGTATATAATTATATATCATTGCATAAAATTGTGCTCATTCAGGTATAATTATCCCACATATCAACAGACCTGTGCAATTTTTTTATCCTGTTTTTTTTTTCAACAGAAACACATAGCGTAGAATTATTTCACACAGAATCGCGTTTTCACATATTTTTTTTTTTAACTCTTTGAGTATTTCACAAGAATCCAAGAATCGCCTTTTCACATCTTTTATAACTCCTTGGGTATATAGAGTATAGATCATGTGTCATAAATAATTAAACTTTTTATCAAATATACATGTAATAAACAAATCTAATCTATAAATTGATTTTCTTTCTTTTAAGTGGCAGATATCAATTTATTTCCAAAGGCTTTAAAACAGTACTATATTACGATTTTCTATCGCTCAGTTCCTTTTCGAGTGTATGTAATATTTTTTAATATTGAAAATAATACTCGGAAATCAGGATAAATTCGCATTCAAATAATAGAGAATAATAAAATCGTCTGATTATAGAAGGCTTAGTAACTATCTTATAAATATTCTGAACTTACTACTATACGAGATAAATAAAACTGCATGCCTGTCCATCACTATAAATGTATATTCAGTGCTTATAATATATTTACTTGAATTAGCTACCTAGCATATATAGTATTTTTTTTTTAGATATATACATGTGTAAATCAATTAACTGTCAATACAGACTTACACTACACTGGTAACTTTAAACTATACATGCACTGGAAGCGGTAACTAACGTACTCTTACGTTTAGAAGAGTGAATATGGAACCTCTAAAAATGTTGATATGGAGAGTGTATATGTTTCTAACATCATCGATACTATTTCCGCCTTTATCTCGAAAGTTCTATTCTCACTTACAAGTCAGTGTTATCTTTCTTTGCCCACTAGGTAAATAGGGAAAATGAGGGTACCAAAAATCTACAAAATGTGGAATCTGATTTCAAAACAAATTATATATCTAGTATTTGTAGAATAACCTCTGTTATACGTAATAATATCTTGAAAAAATATTAAAAAACAAAAAAGTTGAAAATTGACCAAACACAAGTTCACTTCCGGTTCGGACAGGAAGTACCGGAAACACACGAAAACAACTTCGAAACAAAGAGAATGTCATGATCTAATACTCCTGTAAATTTCACATCTTTACCTCAAACCGTTCCCGAGAAAAATTCCGGACAAAAGTCCATTTAAAAATTGGAAATTCGGCCATAACTTCGGACCGGAAGTGAATTTTTCAAAAAACGGAATTTTATATAAACTTCATATATCAGCCTACTATCAAGTGAAAAATTGTGAAAATCTATCCAACCATCTCTGAGTAATCGCGCTCACAAAATTTGGGAGGAATAATAATAATAATAATAATAATTAGAAACTCATTGCGAGCAATGAGAGGTCTTCCGTCCGATTTTGAAAATAAAAACGTAAATTCAAGCTGAAAAGGTGATAAAAGAAATTCAGACACTCTGGAGATTTAACCCTTGTCGCCAGCGTGAAAATCCAATGTGCTAACCATTAACCATTCACTTTTTTTGCATCACTTCCTGTCACGACCAGAAGTAACGGCGATACAAGATTTCCTCGCGATTCAAATAAACTGATGACTGACTATCAGTCCTGAAAGTTTTAGACTTCAGTCGTTTACTGTTGCCAAGTAATATTGTGAGAACAAATTCTAATTTTGAGGACAGGTAAACAAGCGACTGGAAGTGATTGATTGATTGATTGTATATTGTTTTACGTCCCATTCGAGAATTTTTCACTCATATAGAGACGTCACCATATACCGGTGAAGGGCTTCAAATTTTGACCTTTACTCGGCACTTAGGGCCATTGAGCAGTGAGGGATCTTTATCGTGCCAACGCCTGCCGTGACACGGGGCCTCGGTTTTTAAGGTCTCATCCGAAGGACCCGCAACTTTCACTTCAAAGTGCCGAGCGCATGGCGAAGGAACAGTTGCTACCTATTTTTTATCGACTTAGGTCTGTCGCGGCCGAGATTCGAACTCACGACCTCCCGATCACGGAGCGAGC